AATCGACCTTGAGCACCGGCGAAATATCTGAGCGCTTTCAACGTGTTCTCTTTTGATCCTTTGTTGTCCATTACCAATGATTTAATTCTTAAGGACCCCAACCACTTAACTAATATCGGTGATTCGTAAGATAAGTAAGACAACCGGGATTCGCTATTTCTTGTGCACAGAAAAACTCACCCAATTCGTTTGCCCAATTATGAACGAGACTTGAAGGACAGACAATTATGCACTTTTCGATTGTTTTTTTGCCTGCTTCAGGCGATTGTTTCAATAAGGTCCACAGAAGAGTTATGCACTGAAGCTAAAAAGTCGTTTTGTTCATTCATTAAAATAATTAATTCAATATTAATATGATTGAAATTTTTACCAAATACTAAATTCCTTAATTAAAATAAGATTAGCAATACACACTGTTTTACCGAGACCCATCTCATCCGCCATGATACAGCTGAAGATATAAAAAAATAAAATAAAATAAAATAATAATCAAAATATTTTGCTTGAGTGGATGCTAATTAAAACTCACCCATGCGCGTTTTCAACCACTCTTCCTGTCGTGCAATTATACAGAAACTGAGTCAAAAAGTCGATTAGAAATTTAATTTCCCGTTAAATACTAAATACTAAAATGTATGATTAAAAATTTTGTCGTTGATACCTTTACACCTTCAATTTGATGCGGTCGAAGTTTATTACCCAGAATAGGGTCTAAGCAGTGGAATCAAATAGCAGAATGATGACATCAAGTTTCGTTGACGAACAGCAAATAATTAAATTGCTCTTACCAACAACCACGTGAACGATCTTGTTGACTTCATTCTTGAATCCCAAGATATCTGCTACAGATTTATTTTTGGTCTTAATTTCTTCTTGTTTTGGTTTTACTTCATCATCACTAGGAGTATAAAGTACGATTGCATTTGGCGCATTGGGATCGTGTAAAGGCCCCGATACAATTCGTCTGCGTACACCTGCCAGGCACAAACGCTTTCTTAGACCTCCTTGATCGAACTCAACGGGCGGTTTTTTGATAAAGGTTGGTACCCTGAAGGGGTTGCTAAAGATCTTTCTAATTGATTTTGACATAATGAATGCAGAGGTGCTACACGCACTTTTGGATGGGGATGTTTCGTCGGGTGAATCGTTTTGATTAACTTTCCCATTCGAACTTTTTCGCTTCCTATCTTCATCACATTCGTTTGTATCTTCCGCATCATGATTATCTAAATTCTCATCATCGCTGGAATTGCATTCAAGTTTAACGCGCTTTTGTGGCTTTGTGAATGAGGGTTTTACACTACGAAATTTGAGTCGTTGGTCCTGAGAACTTTCTTGAGTCTTGTTTACTATCATCGAATTCCCCAAAGGAGTCTTGGAAGATTTTTTAATGTTACTTTTCCGCATTTTGATTTCGCCGGAAAGACCAATTGTTCGCAAATGTAAAAAAGGCTAAACAATTTTCAATATTGTATCTGGAACTGCTTTAGCCGCTCAGCGTTGACCAACGCGCTTGTTTATAAAAAGAGTGTTAAAGAGTGTTTTAAGGGCACCCGAAAGTATGAAAATTTTACTGTAGTAAGTGATTCAGTTTATAAAGATACACGTTAAACTAAAACGTGTTGAAGTTGTGTAACTAACAATTGTTCATATTGGAATACGTAATTCGTGTATCTGTAGTAGTAATTTTAGCAGCCACTAAAAGATGCGGTCACATGCTAATAATTATTACAATTACCATATTTAAAAGTCTAATTCTCTAGTAATAACGATATACTGGAAATTTGATGGCACCGATTACTCAATCTTCCTCGGTGTCTAAAAGGACAACTGCTCGAAAGCCAGTCCCACAAGGTCCGACCGCAGAAGAAACTGTAAGAATGTAGCGAGGAACATTCGTTCGCCGTTTTAGTTTTCATCCACCAAATGAACAAAATCTGAATATCTACCTTGGCCATAAATAGCCAAAGGAGTACTTCGAAAAATGTAGAACCAAAATTTTAATGGGTCATACGAAAACCGTCCGGACTGTGGCCTGGAACTGCGACGGTAGAAAGCTCGCCAGTGGCTCTGTCGATAAGACGGTGCGCCTCTGGGAGGCCGATCAGGTACATATTACTTGGTTATTTCTCGACAAATAAGCCAAGTTATGAACCATTTCATTTCAGGAAGATATCAAATATTCGGTCAAACTACTCGGACACGAAGAAAGTGTTGATCAATTATGTTGGAATCCATTGTCACCTTACGAACTTGCTACTGCATCTACCGATAGAACGGTCAGGTTCTGGGATACGAGAGGTTAGTTGCAAGTGTAGTAATTCTTCATATCTTTCTTGGAATCAATTAAACTAAATTAATTAAGCGAGCGACGTTATTCTTATGAAAAGATTCCAAGAGAAGCACTCACGTGGTATCTACTGACGGCGAAAATATAAACATTAGTTGGAGTTGGAACGGTGAAATGGTTGCTGTTGGTGATAAGGTGTGTCTAGAGACTTGACACTATATTTTCCTTTTCACTGCGTGGTAGTGAACAAAATTCGTAATTTACGCGTTTCTTATTAGTTTTCATTTGGTTCACTTTCAGGATGATAAAATATCATTCATTGACCCGAGAAAATCACCACCAGCTATAGTAAAAACATATACAGAAGTTGATGATTATAGAGACGAGGTAGGTGAAAATGAACGATAATCAGGGTTCCTAATGACAAATTTATTAATTAAATATCGATCTCATCTCTTAGATAAATGAAATAAGTTGGAATCATGATTGTTCTATGTTCTTTTTGACAACTGGTTCTGGTGCAATAAAAATGTTAGAATGGCCATCTTTGTCAGTGGTACAAGTCTTGCGAGGACATACAGCAAATTGTTATTGTCTGGATTTTGATCCAAAACAACGGTGCGAACATTGATATCATATATTTTAAACTCATATGGAAATCATGACTTACGATTTATTGTTTTCAGATATGTTGCAGCTGGGAGTGCAGACGCTACTGTGACTTTATGGGATATTAAAAACGGGGTTTGCGTAAGAACATTCAAGGGATTAGAGTAAATTCAATTCGAATTTTTTTACTATTTCTATTTGCATTACCAAAGTTGATAATAACATTGTTATTTCAACTAATCGCCCAGATTTCCTGTACGAACAATAAGTTTTTCACACGATGGCATTTATCTGGCATCCGCGTCAGAAGACGAATATATTCATGTGGTACGAATCTTTCTTAAAGAATGTAATTCTTTTATTCGAATTATAAAAAAAAAAAAAAATTAATTTTCATATCATAGTCGGACGTTGAGAGAGGCGGTAAACCAGTGTTTAAAATTAGGACGCAGGCAGCCACTAATTCGGTTGCATGGCATCCAAAAGGGTACCTGTTGGCTTTCGCTGGTGATGCAGAAATTGATAAGCAATATATTGGATTGCATGTATTCGGCTTCAACAATTGAGTAAAGGTTTATGTGAATTCAATTTCTGAAGTTAAATCACATGTCACTTTTAAATTGCATTCAACCATAATCCAAGTGCAATCTTGCAATGTTTGCATTTGTTTTTTCATTTTATTATTGTAATTAAATATGATTAATTATGTTACCCACGTAAATAAACCGTAAAAGAAATTTTCTAAATATTCACTCTATTGTACTTGAATCAACCAACGAAAAAAATGCCAATAAAATAATTAATTATTAATTAGTGAAAAATAGAAAAGTTTTATTCAATGTACATCTAACCCGATCACTCATATCCCATCATCTAATTCAAACCAAATGTTTTTAATTACATTGCTGAATTGTTGAGTTCATAAAATTGGTTCATTAAACCCAATAAACCGCCATTTCGCGGTCGATCATGTTCCACTGACTCGGAAACGCCGTCTCTATTCTTCGTATTTGCAAAGAGGTATGAATCACCCAAGTCACTTGCGTAATACTCTTGACTCGAACTAGGTGATCCTGGTGGTTCTACAGACAACCGATCAGCTTGATAGCTACGGTGCGATTTATTTGAAGTACTCGGTTCATCTTCTATTATCGAATCCATTCCAACACCGCCTACTGTAACACTATTAAGATGAGTGGTTGACTGTGAAGCGCCAATTGGATATCCAAAGTGGACATTACTGCCGCGTCTGTTCGACTTTACAATAGAATCCATGGCAGACGTGCGCGTAGTACTGGGGCGTTCTGGATGAATTTGGTTGTTAAACTCAGTCAGGCGACTCAGATAGAGGGAGCCAGCAGGATCTGTTGGTTCCCAATCAGGATGATTGGCCTTTTTTAAAAAAGCCCCGATTTAACTTCGGATTTCGAACCTCTATGAAAATCATAGTTTTAGAAAATAACTAACCTTAAAATTTAAGAAGCTCTTCTCCATCTTGCCATCCTTCGAAAGATAATACTCGTTATCAACTTCAGCTGGCGCGCCATACTACACAATTCAATTTTAATTATCAATAATGAATTGACAAAAAGAATTCTAACATACACACCTTCACATTGCCATGCCTCTTGAAATCAAATACTGCAAAACTACAGACGTGACCGATACCATCTACATGCACGGTAAACTCACGAAAGAAATCAATAATCTGCTGTGAACAAAAATCAAGGTCAAAGGTAATACGTATGTATGTTTTTCTTTGAGAAATATCACAAAAAATGAATCAGGATATGACTACAATCCGGAAGAGAAAACCAGAGGACGAAAGGCGTAAACAGAACACTAAAAATCTCTTGAATGTATAACATGACCTTGACTTCGAATAATTGATTGAACTCTCTACGAACCTAAGTAAAATTCGAGAAATGAGTTATAAACTTTTTTGAAAATACAAATGAGATACTAGAAAAATCCGACTTACTTCGTCAGAATGCAGTCTACCTTTCCACTCATTAGGAGAATAATGTGTATGTTCCACAACTTTCTTTAACCTTGTTTCTGGATCAAATACCAAGTGATCGTCCGGGATCGTGCCACGGCTAACAGCCAAAATTGGTACGAAAACTCCAGTGTAAAAGAACACAGTTCGACCGGATGTAATCTCGAATGTTGGGTCGATATAAGTGACCACGATCAGTATTGCGGCAAAAGAGCCAACAATGAATAGTATAAATCTTAGTTAAAACAACATTGACACATATCAGTGATGAATAAATATGAAATAACCAGGAATACAAGGGATTAGTAAAATTATATTTACTGTGTGATCAATTTTGTTTTCTCCTTTGGAAATTGGTCAATGTATTTGTTTGCGGGTTTGTAACTTTTAGATAATCTTTGATAGAATAAATGGGGTAATTCGTTAAATTCTCTAAACTTCCAACGTGCAAACGGTGACCAGTGACGTGAACCTAGAGTTCCCGGATTTGAACGAAATTCCTAAGCATCAAAAGAATTGAGTTGGGCTGGTTAAATGCGTGAAAAGAATGTCTTGTTCACTTTTATAACTTATATTACCTCAAAGTAACGGAAGAAAAAGTACAAGATAAGATATATAACTATAAAAGGAGCGAATATAAAATTAAGAAGTCCCATGAAAATAAATCGACGACGAAGCCTGATAAATTAAAATGCTATAATTAAGTAATAAATTTATAAATATAAATATTCAATCTTCTACTAACCCTTGAATTAATTTCGTTCTTTGAACATCTTTTATAAAGCGCTTCCTGACCTGTCCATGATCATTAAATACATAATTTTGAACACAAAAACTTAAATTCCATTCTAAGGTCTTTGTTAACATATTGCGCTTCTTGAAAAAAGGTATCGGAATCGTCAAATTTAATACATCCTTATTAAAAAGAGCGATGAGATAGTTTTCTTGACGCATTATTCTATTTGTTATATTATGAGCGTCTAAGCGTTGTTGAGGTTTGTTAGCGGAACCTTGAGAGGTAGTTGGGTTATTGTCTCTGATTTTGATTATTTGATTTACAATTTGTTGCCACGACACAGTTTGCATGTCGACCTATTAATAAAAAGATTACAGTTAACGTTAAAATATGACCAGCAAACACCAGAAAAGCGGTAAATAATATAAACACGACGCATACATCGGGAATATCCAGAAGATATGTGTAGAAATTATACATATCAATTAAACGACGAATGTCCGAGACGAATCGAACCACCTGGATTATCCAGAAAATGGAAAATAACACTAGGAATAGCTTCGTCCAGCCTGATAGTCTGATATTTATTATCGTAAATTACGAAGTGGATCATTAGATTTGTCGCAAACTTAATATTTATAATTTCATTGATGCTTACTTGCTGATGCATTGTGGTATTATTACTTCCGACAAACGGTTTTTTTCTCTCATTAAGGAATAATCAACACATCCAACCAAAAACGTCGAAAACCCCATGACAAATCCCAGTGTCCTTAAAGAGAAAGTGCGTTGATTTTGAATCTGCTAGTTGTTAACTGAAAGAGAATCTCAAAAACATGTGTAAACTTACAATAAATTAAGAAATCTGTTTAGTAAAATGCAGTAGATTCCTTTCCCAACATAATATGAATAGACCTGGTCTCGAATAGCATATTTACAGTAATTATTAAGGTAAAAAAAAAAAAAAAATGAAATGGAACGTAATTGGACACGGGCATACCTGCTCGAAGAAGATGTCTAGATTCTCGACATTAGCCCATTTCCACATGGTCATTTCTTTGATGTTCATTCCTGGCCTTGGGTTAAGTTTCTTACGTTGTGAAGGCATCTCTATGATTAAAGAACGTGGAACCTCATTGCTCTCCTGATATGGTTCCTCATCGATGTCGTCCTCAGGCAAATGCTGATATCGTTGTTGTCTATTAACAAAGTTTTGGAATGTCGAAGATCGGGAAGATATGGTTCGCGGTATTCCTGTCTGACGCAAAACAAAGCTTTCAGAAGTTTCTTCTTCCAGATCTTGATCATTGTTGTCTTGGAAAGCTACGTACGGAGTATCGTTTGTTTGAAAATTGTTAAGAATCGATCGATCCGCCATTTTCTGTTAAAAGAGTGTGATTGCAGCAGACAATATTATATATACTGAACGTTAAAGTATTAATCTGCGGAGCTAAATTTTTGTGCTGCGCTTTTATGTACATACGCACCTGCGTCGAAAATGATGTAATCGGGCATGCTGATCGTTTATATTAAAACGTTGAATGATTTTTCAAACTACTATTTTACTTTGTTTTAAAAATTTTTTTAACATAAGAATTAACTAGCAATTAATAATATAGTTTCATTAACAACCTATATACAGTAATTATTAATTTTTGATTGTTTTATTAAAAAATAAAATCTCTTTAAATATTTGTTAAAAATATTATTATCTAAAATTTTTAATCTTCTTTCACTTGTTTTTTTTTTTTTTTTTTTTGAAAATTTTTTTTTACATTTTTGTAAATAAATATAAGAAAAATATATTTATACAATCAAAAATAAAAATGATTTATTATAAATAAAACATATTTAAATAAATATATATATATATATGTTTTTTTTATAAATTCAAAATTTTCTTTTTAGTTTTTTAAATATATAAATTTATTTGTTTTATTGTTTTAAAAAATTTTATCTATTTTAATTTGATTTTAAATTTTTGATTACATTAAAATTTATAAATAATAATTGATTAAAAATTTAAATTAATTAATTAATACATATCAAAAAATATAAACAAGACATATAATATAATCTTTATATTTTTTATCTTATATAATAAAAAATCCAATAATATTATTGTTTATAACAAAAAAAACAATAATAATATATTTGTTTTGTTAAAAATAATTTGATATTATTTTTATTTTTATTTTTTGAAGGAGAAAATGGCTATCACACTTTATTTTATTATTATTATATTTTAGACTCGTAATTACAAGATTATAATAGCATATATCAGTCAATTGGTTTAAACTTAAGTATAATGTATTATATTTAAACTCAATAAAATAGGCAAGTTACATGTTCTCAAAAGACTTATATTTATATAGAAAACCAATATTTGTATCACATGTCTTATAATTTGATTGGCTGCGGAATTGCCATTAGATCACCTGAAAATTCTACAAACACGGAAAGCACTAGTTTTCAATTCAACTCAAGTTAGATCATAAGGCATATAAATCTCATTTGCAATAACGAAAGATGAATCTTTTTTTTCCCCAGCAGAAAGCTAAACCAAATGCCAAAGATGCAATCGTTCGTCTTCGAGACACCTTGCAAATGTTGGAAAAGCGTGAAAATCATTTGCAGAACAAAATTGATTCTGAGCTCAAAACCGCAAAGACATATGCGGCTACCAATAAGAGGGGTAGGTTTTTTTTTTAAGTTAGATGTGTTCTTAAACAGTTGCGCGTATCATTTGCCGTCAAAGAAAATTCGGCATCAGTATATATATGGCGCGTTATAAGTTCTTTGTATGTAGGAAATTTACAACTTATATTTGGACATACAACGACTTTCGAAACTTTGCATATGATATTTCTTTAACGATCCTAGTTTTAACATGACAACGTGTTCAATGTACATTTAGTAAATTATTACTGATCATTTTCTCGAATGCGATATATAATTCAGCCGCAATGATGGCTCTCAAACGAAAGAAACAATATGAAAATCAAATCGAGAAGATAGGTGGGGCAAGAATCACGATCGAAGCACAAGTGATGGCGATTGAAAATGCAAATGTTAATTTGGAAACAATTAGGGCTATGGAGAAGGGTGCTGAAGCAATGAAAGCAATACATGGATCAATGTATGTTACCGTAAAATCTCATATTTCGATTGCGTTCACTACGTTTAAAAAAAAACAAAAAAAATATTTATACAATTAAAAGGGATATAAATAAAGTGGACGACACAATGGATTCTATACGCGAGCAAATGGATTTGGCCGATGAAATTTCAAACGCGATTTCTGCTCCGATGATCGGCATTGATTTAGATGATGTATGTGCATTTCGTTTAATTCTTCTGTATATTCTCGAGATAATTTACGAAACTTTTTAAATGCAGGATGAATTGAATGCCGAGTTAGAAGAATTAGAACAAGAAGTTCTTGACAGTCAATTGCTCGAAGTTGAAGCTCCGCCAGTTTCTTCTAAAGTACCCATAAAACCTAGGATTGCTGAAGACCTTGATGAAGAAGCGGAGTTGGAAGAATTAAGAGCGGCCATGGCCATGTAGTCTCTTTTTTTAAAAAAAAAAGGGAGTAACAAGGAAATGATGCACGAAAAATTATTCCATGTAATTATATATAAATATATATTTGGGAATTTCGGAGTTTGGAGATTAATAAGCGTATGTTATTTATAGAATCATTTCATAAGATCGATTAATATACGTTTATATAGATTTTTTCCTCATTTGATGAAATTATCCCGTTTTCAGTTTTATTGCATTACCTTTTATTTAAATCAATTTTTATTGTTCAAATTCAAAAATGTGTATTATTGGATAATAATATTATGTTATTTTGCAATATTATTATCATTTTAAAAAATATACATTTTTTTTTAGAAAGAAGGAACTTTGTTATTTTTATGTTATTAAACTTGATGTTTATATTATCGTTATTATCTTTGCTTTTAATAAACATAATAATATTAAAATTTTTTAATATTGTATTGAATAAATTATGATTTATTTTATATTTTATATTTAAATTTAAATATTTCACCTGATTTGTATACATTTAATTTACTAAATTAAAATATATTACTTAAACTTTATTTATAGGCAAATATATTTATTAACATTATTACTATATTATTTATAATTAGTTTTTATTAAAAATTGTTATAATAATTTATAATTTATATAAAGTGTGTTTAAAAAGTCTTTAAATATATTTTTTTGTTATAATTCATATACAGTATATTAAAAAATATTTAAATATATATATTTGTGATAATTTAATAAACAATTATTTGATTTAAAAAAATTTAAATATATTTTTTAACAATATAATAATATTACTATCAAAGTTTTATTAATAAAAAATATACAGTCAATGTTGGTTACAATAACCAAATCAAAGGAAGCCTAATTTTACAATTTTATATTACTATATTCAATTGTTATTGTATCCAATGTTATAATACTATAATATACTATTTAAAAGAATTTTTTATTTTAAAAAATTATGTTATTATATTCAATTTTTACTATAATGTTACTCTAAACAATGTTATTGTAATTAGCTTTAACTGTATATATAGCAATTTTTTGCTAATTTTTTTTATTAATTCAAATTAAATTATTTGATTGTTAAAAAAATTTTTTTAAATAAATAAATATTATTACTTTTTTAAAATTATACAATTGAAAAATTTATATAAAAAAAAAGTAATAATATCTCTTATATAATTAATTAATTAGTAAATTTAATACTAACTTACCTATAGAAACTATTTAAACAATAAAAAAAAACAAATATTAAATTTAATATACAATATAATAAAAGATCTATGAATTTATAGTATAGTAATTAATACTTTACAAGTCAAATCACAAGATACCAATTCAATTCTATATGAGAGTAGTTGAATAGAATTAATATAGTATCTGATACTATAATCTGTAAAAGTACTATTTCTCATAAGAAGTCATTTTATATACTGATCCAATAGATACTGAGATTGTAATTTTCAGAAAAAATATTATAGTGCAATGATCATTCAATTGAAGTTATAATAATTGCCAGAAGTTGCAAGATATATGAAATGACTATTTTCAATAAGCAGGTTTGATAATTGCTTTCTTTAGTCTTATCCTAATCCAGTAATAAACTAATCTAATAATGCTTATTTCAAAAAGTATCTGATAGTAAGGCCTGCTCTATACAATGTTATATAAGTTATTTTTCAAGCAATAAAAACAAGTTATAAGTCTACTTTAAATATTCTTAAGTATTATTTAGACAAATAAGAAATTAAATAGTTAGTCTAATTGCAAATAATAATAAAGCAATTTATTCCTAATAAAATAAGTAGGTATTATATAACTTTATTTATTAAATAAAAGATATTACCTCAAGTACATCCCTTTATTTCTTCTTAACTCTTCTTCAATAAAAAAAACAGTTAGCTAAAACTACTAGTAACTTAGCAATAAGTAGGGCTTTGATATATTTGTATCAACTTCTATCCATTAGAAAAAGTTAAAGCAACAATCATTATATAGAAAAATTCTTATATAGTTTAGCATATATAAAGACAATTAATATTATAGTATAGTTTTATATAATAATATGTATAAATATATGTAAATCTTAATCTTAATAAAGTTTGCTAAGCAAGATCTATGCTAGCATTTAATAAATAAATATATATATATATATACAATATAATAAGAAAGTCTTTAAATAATTATTAACAAAATTATAAGTTATACTACAACTTATTCAATTTAAATTTAAATGAATTTAAATTAAATATAATATATTTTTATTACTTCACTTATTATTTATCTTATATAAACATTCAATTGTATCTATAAGATTTTTTTTTATAGCTGCTAATATAAAAATTATCCATTAATCTATATAGATTATTTTTATATAACATTTGTAAAAGAATAATATAAGAGATATTATTAAAATTCAATATAAAACAGATCTTCAAAAGTTTATTATTTATTATAATATTAAAAAACTAAAAAAAACTAGATTTTTTAAAAAAAAAAACTCTTTTTTACTTACCCTTCTATACTTGAAAATTTCCTTTTTAAAAAATTTTTGAATTGTTTACTTTTTTTTCATCTTCCTTTTTCCCTTTCTTTATTTTTTCTTCCCATATCTTTTTATTTACCTTCTTCTATCTTTTTCTCTTTCTTTTATATATTTTTTTTTACCTTATACCTTCTTTTTTCTCTTTCCTTTTTCTTTCTTACCAAAGTTAGGTTTTTTTTTTCCTAAAGATTTTGTTCTCTAAACCTTTCTCTCTTTTGAAAACTTCATCTCTATTATATTATCTCTCTGGCTAGTTGACTTTTTTTTCTCAGGGATCATATTAAAAAGCAATAACCATTCTTAGAATATGGATCTTAGGAAATTTTCTCTCTTCCATGGTCTTTCAAAAAAAAACAGATAGGTTACCCCCTTCAAAAAATTAATATAGTTATTATTATTAAACTCAGCATTGTTTACTGATTGGTAGTTAGACTAGATATACCCAAGAAACTTCTGTACAACTATTATTATCTGAAAGTATTCAAAAAGTTGTATTCTACAGTATTTAGAGTAAAATAGCAACCTATGTCAATGCAACTAGCAATAAGCTAAACTAGTTGCAGGTGTTATACTGGTGATTGAAAAATTTAGTAAGGTAATATATGATGATCAAGGATTTTAGTTACCCCAAAAATGAGATAGTGACAATAACAAAAGTTTCTTACTTATTTCTTGAACAATATAGGTCTATTGTATAAGGTTAGGTTCTGGTGCCATTAAGAAAACCAATAAGAACTTCATCCATAAGACACTTTCACCATACTTGAAACATAGGTATACCAAATCATTTTTGTAACTTGAAGACAAACCTGTATAAAGTGGTTGCAATGTCTTCATACAGAAAGATATTTACTTCTCACTACCTTCAATACTATTCCACTTATTATATATCAAGCCATATTTGAAAAGCAGGTATGTTAATTCTAATTATAACTTAGAGGCCAATCTGTATAGATTGACTGCAGCACCTTCATATAATTAATTATTCATTTACTTCTAGATAGCTAAATGCTATTCAAGACAATAATATAGATTTTTGAATTTCTTTTTTTCTGTATTTCTTAAATAGTGTCAAAAGAGCACAAAGATTGAATCCATTTTAAAGCCTTGTGTTAAACTCTTTCTAATAAAGAAAGACATATGTTATGCTATTGATATTGTATATTGCTTTGCAAGTGAAAGTATAATAAATAAAATAAAGCATAATTGATAGTCATTTGCTCTTTTCAAAAAAAAAAAATAATAAATTTATTATTTATAAAAAATATTTTAATTATTCTAAAAAATTTATTTTGGAAATATTAAATATATTAGAACAAATAGTTAAATAAAATCCAATAATATCGAAAAAAAAAACTCTTTTCCACTCCCCTCTCTACACTTGAAAATTTTCTTTTTAAGAAATTTTAAGTTGTTTTCTTTTTCTACTTTTCCACTTTCCTTAATACTGTTTTTTCTTCCTATTATTCTTTTCTTTCCTCTTCCTTTTTTTTTTCTTTTCTTTTACAAACCTTTTTTAATATATACTCTCTTTCTTTTCTCTTTTCCCTACTCCCTGCCAAAGTTAGGTTTTTTTCTTCTCTCTGAAGTTTTTCCTCTCTAGATCTCTTTTTCTCTTAAAACTGCTGCTCTCTATCTTATCACCCCTCTGGTCAGTTGATTTGCTTTTCTTAAGAACCATATTAAGAAATATTAACTTTTTTTATGTTGTGGATCTTAAGAAGTTTTTTGCTTCCATGATTTTTTAAAAAAAGAATAAATGGTTTACTCTTCAAAAGATCAGCATAATCATCATTACCATATTCGGCATTGTTAACTTGTTGATGATTAGACTAGATATATCTAAAAAACCACTATACAACTATTGTCATTTGAACTTCCAGAAAGTTGCACTCCACTGTATCCAGTTATATGGCAGCCAATGCCAGTATAGAATTCTACAAATGTTATGCTGGTATCTGGAATATCTAGTAAAATGACATGTGATAATCAGAGGTTCTAGTTACTTCTGCAAACAGAGCTGGTATTAACAATAGAAGTTTCTCATTCACCCTTTGACAATATAGGTTCATGTACATAGTTAGGTAACAACATTTTTAAGAAATTCTAATCCAACTTTATCTATTGGACACTTCTGCTACACTTGGAAAATGAGTATGTCAAACTCTTTATGTAACTTGAAGCCAACCTGTGAAAAGTGACTATAGTATCTTCATGTATAAAAAACTAACCCTTTTCTACTTCACTCTCTGCTTGCTATATATCAAGCCAAAGTTGAAAAGTAAGTGTGTAAATCCTAACCATGACTTGAAGGCCAATCTGTATATTTGGTTGCAGTGCCTTCATATAACTAGGTACTATACAAATATACCAGACCCAAGCTGGCCACTACTCAAGAGCTTATAGGATTTTCATCGTTTTTTTCTATTGCTTGGGTGATTAATTAAACTAAAAT